GCAAAGAAGTAGCTTCTTTTATAAAAATGTGTGCGGTCTATGTTATTCATGAGGCAGTCAATTTGCTGAGGCAATAAATAATATTTGGGAGAGACGTGAGAGAGACCAAAGAAGTGAATGAATAGTTTTTGGTGGCAATCAGCTTTGAAATCAGCATATTTTGCATTATGATTTGCATATTATAACAAACAAAGTACTAGGGTAGTGAATAGATGTTAGCTTCAGCTGTCAGCTAGCAAGGAAAGTTAGCCTACAAAGCTGGAAGCTACCAGTATCTTCTATTATAAAGTGTTGTAACCTGTATGGACAATAATTTGTGAACAATAATTAAGTTTCGACATTTCTATGTGCTGTGTCACATTATTCAAGTGTGTTAACTTATGTGCAGCATGACTGCAGCCCAGACTCCCAGTGCAGGCTAGCAACGAGTAAAGGCGAGTTTGTGCATATATTATGACGACATTTTGTGACGTTTTTGTTAGTTTTTGGACTTTGGTGAGGGTTTTTTCAGCTGTTCGGGCACACAATTATTTTTCAGGCAAGCCGAAGTTTGGAGCCGAAGTCTACGCCCCTTCGTCAGTGATTGGTCAACAGTAGGGATTCTTCAATAAAGTCTGTCATTCAACGAGAGACGACTAGTTTTTATGAATTTTTTTTAATTGAAAAGTACTGCACCAAACATCTTCGTTAGATGTCAAATTGTGTGACTAAGATCTCTTCGGCAAAAACGTCAATTAATGACGGATTTCATGAGTTATCTTTAATTCAGACTATTTTAAGTGTATACTGGCTACGGCGTCTCAAAATGGACAAACAGTACTATTACTGCTTGTTTCTTGTCATAGTCTTTTTTTTTTTTATGTAATAAATCATTTTGACAGTAACCCTGTAAAAGTAATTCATAAACCTGTTTGTTTCTTGGGCTTCAGGAATGTGACTGAAAAAGTGCCCCAGTCCTTGAAAAATGTATGATTAAACTGATTGAAAGTATAAGGTGAATATCGGCGAACAAATGCTGTGGTCAAGGCTACGACGGCGCCAGTGCAATGAGTGTAGCTTACTCAGGTTTTCAAAAGCTCATATCAGACCGAGAGCCTAATGCTTCCTATGTAGTTCTTAATGAGTTTTAGTTTAGAAAACGATCTCTCCACAGAAGCGATAGCTACAGGAATGGTAAAAACAGCTTGATTGCCGTAGCAACATCAGGGGAACTGGGCAGAAGGGAGGAGTGCTTCAAATACAGCAGTTCTGCAACATTTGTAATGAGCCTCATTCTCCTTAATTGCTGGCCTCAACACATTACGAAAATAGATTAACTGTATAGGAAGCTCTGGGGACAGGTCGTCTGGATACTGGACAGCCAATAAATTGGCAGATGCAAACAGATTATCATATTTAGCGGACAACAGTTCTTGAGTGCTTGAACAAAAAAAGTGATTTGTTATTTTTGTTCATACTGGTGAACCGGCGTTTTGAGTTGTGTGGTTGCAATATCAACAGTCCCTTAACTCTGGTGTATCTTGGCATGCATCATTGAAGACTAAGTTTCAATTGTGTGCAGCACAATGGACATATAATGCACAATGTCTCAGGAAAGACTGTCTGGGTTGGCAATACTCAGTATAGAAAACAGTCGGGCCCGCAACCTGGACCTACAGGCCGTGATGAAAACATTTGCACACAAAAAAGGAGGACTTCAGGAGACCCGGGGAGTCTCAAGTTAGATTTAATTTAGGCCTAATTTAATCTATCTTGAATATTGCAGTCCATTTGTGTAGGCTATTAGCCAACTACTTTTTTCCTCATTGCTAGGCTATTTGATGTGTAATGTTTATATATATTTTTAGAAATAGCGCCTACATCGCAGTTAAAGTCTAGGTTTGGGCAGTATCAAGATTTTCATATCGTCATACCTTCCTTCTCTCATCCCGGGATTTATGGTATTACCTGCTTAGTACACAAGGGGGCGCCAGAAAAAGCAAAAACGCCCATTGGGCGTCTTTGACCAGACTACTAACCAAATTAGCACAAGTAATAGCGAATTTCCATGGAGGCTGCAAGCTAAATATGCTAACGAGCGCAAACTAGTGCTCCTAAATAAAGATTATAGGTCGCACAGTTAAATATTTAGGCGCATATGCGAGTAAAATGTAGAGCCCTGTATGAGTAAAAAACTTTAGTGAACCAGCAATCGTAATGTTTGAATTTGTTTTCATACCGATGCATGATCGGCAATCCAATATTTTAATAAATAATGCTTGGTGACACTGGTGATATTTGAGATGTTTTTATGGGTGACCTGGTTGCTCATTGAAGTTTCCAGCAGCACCCCCATAATCCCTGGCCTAAATGGATGTGGACATTGTGACCACGCTCCAGTCTAGCTACATCTTTACTTGTTTTTATTATGAAACATGAGCAGCATCTGATGCAGCTTCATATTAAATGTAATCTCCTTGGTGTCCGCATCATATAAATTACAGCTGAGGAGATGTAGCATGTACACTGCCATCCCTGTTTTAATCACATACAGTGCATTCGGAAAGTATTCAGACCCCTTGACTTTTTCCACATTTTGTTACGTTTCAGCCTTGTTCTTAAATTGATTAAATTTAAAAAAATGTCCTTATCAATCTACACACAATACCCTATAATGACAAAGCGAAAACATGTTTTTTGAAATTTGTGCAAATGTATTACAAATAAAAAACAGATTATTTATATAAGTATTCAGACCCTTTGCTACGAGACTCGAAATTGAGCTCAGGTGTATCCTGTTTGCATTGATCATCCTTGAGATGTTTCTACAACTTGATTGGAGTCCACCTGTGGTACATTCAATTGATTGGACATGATTTGGAAAGGTACACACCTGTCGATATAAGGTCCCACAGTTAACAGTGCATGTCAGAGCAAAAACCAAGCCATGAGGTTGAAGGAAATGTCCGTAGAGCTCCGAGACAGGATTGTGTCGAGGCACAGATCTGGGGAAGGGTACCAAAACATTTCTGCAGCTTTGAAGGTCCCCAAGAACAGTGGCCTCCATCATTCTTAAATGGAAGAAGTTTGAAACCACCAAGACTCTTCCTAGAGCTGGCTGCCCGGCCAAACTGAGCAATCGGGGGAGAAGGGCCTTGGTCAGGGAGGTGACCAAGAACCCAATGTTCACTCTGACAGAGCTCCAATGGGAGAACCTGCCAGAAGGACAACCATCTCTGCAGCGCTCCACCAATTAGGCCTTTATGGTAGAGTGGCCAGACGGAAGCCACTCCTCAGTAAAAGGCACATGACAGCCCTCTTGGAGTTTGCCAAAAGGCACATAAAGACTCTCAGACCATGGGAAACAAGATTCTCTGGTCTGATGAAACCAAGATTGATCTCTTTGGCCTGAATGCCAAGCGTCACGTCTGGAGGATACCTGGCACCATCCCTACGGTGAAGCATGGTGGTGGCAGCATCATGCTTTGGGGATGTGTTTCAGCAGCAGGGACTGGGAGACTAGTCAGGACCGAGGGAAAGATGAACGGAGCAAAGTACAGAGAGATCCTTGATGAAAACCTGCTCCAGAGAGCTCAGGACCTCAGACTGGGTCGAAGGTTCACCTTCCAACAGGACAACGACCCTAAGCACACAGCCAAGACAACTCAGGGGTGGCTTCGGGACAAGTCTCTGAATGTCCTTGAGTGGCCCAGCCAGAGCCCGGACTTGAACCTGATCGAACATCTCTGGAGAGACCTGAAAATGCAGCGACACACCCCATCCAACCTGACAGACCTTGAGAGAATCTGCAGAGAAGAATGGGAGAAACTCCCCAAATACAGGTGTGCCAAGCTTGTAGCGTCATACCCAAGAAGACTTGAGGCTGTAATAGCTGCCAACGGCGCTTCAACCTGGTCTGAATACCTATGTGAATGTAATATTTCTGTTTTTTATTTTTAATACATTTGCAAACATTTCTAAAAACCTGTTTTTGCTTTGTCATAATGGAGTATTGTGTGTAGATTGATGAGAAAAAACTAACAATTTAATCCATTTTATAATAAGGCTGTAACGTAACAAAATGTGGAAAAGTCAAGGAGTCTGAATACTTTCCAAATGCACTGTATGTATCACGGGCAAAGCCTCATCTTTCTATGCCATCGGCCGCTGGAGGGATTGATCATCTGGGTTAAGAAATGTTTTCCAATCAGAGCTATTGAAAGGGTAAACAGTATCTCTCGTGTTGAGGTGTTAAGTTGGTAATGGTTGGTGGATTAGAACCTAGTTGCTGGGTGTGTTGCCCTATAGTCTCTGTTTGTTTACCCTGACATTTTATGGTGCCCAGACAGGAAGAGCCCAGGGCCAGACTGCTTTACTGCGTGTGCATGTGTGTGTGTCAAGGGCTTTCGGGGCTGCAGACATGGAGGCAGGTCACTCTAGTGATGGAGTAAAAGCAGATAAGAACAGAGACCTCCAGACTACACACACACAACTGGATCAGACTCGAGGTCAATTAGAAAAATAAACACACATCTCTGTCCAGAGAGGGCTTCTCAGGTTTCCCCAGATAAAAACTGCGCTGAAGGTGGGATGATTACCACATGCATACACACACACACACACACACACACACACACACACACACACAGAGACACACACACACGCTACTTAAAACCTGTCCGACGTGTTAAGTCTGGCCTGTCCTGTCCCAGACTGACCCTCCTCCTGCCGTGTGTGTGTGTGTGTGTGGTTGTTTGTGTTTGTGTGTGTGTGGTCAGTCTGAAAGGCCTCACGTTGTTGGTTTGATCTGAGGTGGTGTCCAGACTTCTTTGTATCCGACCAGTGAGACCATAAAACACACTGACCCTTCTGTCTGGCTAAATCAACCCTTCTATCTCTCTCTCTCTCTCTCTCTCTCTCTCTCTCTCTCTCTCTCTCTCTCCCCCCCCACTCTCTCTCTCTCTCCCCCCCCCCACTCTCTCTCTCTCTCCCACTCTCTTTCCCCCCTTGTCATTCTGCAGAAGAAATTCAGAGCAGCTAAAGAAGCGTATGAGAGTTTACTACAGACAGAGAATCTTCCTGCACAGGTGAAGGCTACTACACTGCAACAACTGGGTAAGTCCTTCTCACGGTCTCTCTCGTATATACTACTGTCAAAGACAATATGTAAATTGTTGAAAGCAAATGCATTACTTGTTGACATGTCATTTTCGTAACATTAACCGATAATTTTCTTTGGATCTTGTTGAATATGTTTAAAAACGTTTCGTCGTTTTTCTTTTTGGATGGTTTCGATATGAAAAGTGCAGTCTTTTACATTTTATAGTCATAAGTGAAAGTGAAACACATCTTTTTCAAACTATAGAAATTGTTTGCTAGAACTTTGTAGAGCAGTGTCTATAGGTGGTGTGTTTGATGTATTTAGTTGTCAGTAACTGACTGCATTTGTGCCCCTTCAAAATAGCCTAGGCTAAATACCCTGTAAAAGTATTGCTAAAGATACATTTGAATTGATGTCTCTAGTGCTTTGTATTTGTTGTTGATGGTACTAATATGAACCAGGTGTATAAGGTTGATAACACAGGGTTGCATCATGCATTGTGTTCTGGGAGATGTTGTGCACGGTATTCCCAGCTGGACAGTTTTCCCAGATCACTTCTTCCCTGCTCCCATCCCTGTTTTCCCAAGTCTCTCCCAATCCTCCAGTCTTTCTCTGCCCTGGCGTGTCCGATGCAACAGCTCATTATGGTGGTGTTAGTTTGTGTACCCCAACCCCCACGCTACACACATAACCACACACACACACACACACACACACACCTCCCCAATGTCGTCCTCTCCAAACACACAGCTCTTGTCTTTTTTCTTGCCAGCCTCCCTGGTTAAGAATGTTCCCTCGGTCGTAAAACCATTCTCTCTTTCTGCCCTGACGGCCATTCTCTCTTTCTGCCCTGACGGCGGCTCTGCCAGGGTTGTCATGGTGACCTCTCAGCAAGGCTCGCCACAGGTGTTGAGGGGAGCGAGTGGGAAGTGTCTGTCTGTGTGTATGCCCGTCCTTAGGGAAGTGTGTGTGTGGAGAAGGGAGGGAGCCCCAGGGGTCTTGTTTAGACCTTTGAAGACATGGCTGGTGTGTGTATGGAGGAGGAATCTCCCTCCCTCCCACTTTCTGCTCTCTCCCTCCCTCTTCTTTTGAAAGCTGTAGACAGACAAGCCATTTGGTCCGTTTATGAGACTGGTGCTTTTACACACCAGACAGACAGAGCAGTGTCACCCCTCTGAGCCTGACAGTGTAGTGTAGTACTATACCAGTATATATTAGTGTAGTATAAGCCACTCGAGTTTTACCATTGTTATCAGAACTAGCTAGCCTTGGTAATAGACTAGCAGAAAGACCTGCTTGATCAGTGGTGTTGAGAGTTACTATTGCAGACAGCGAAGTGTAGGGTGTTGGTAGCTAGTGGTGCTGTTGACCAGCTAGCAGAAGGCTAGCCCTGCACCCAAACTAGTGGTGACAGCTGTTTGATCCACCCTCCTAACTCCCCTGGACTGGTCTCCTCTAGGCTGGATGCATCACACAGTGGAGCAGTTAGGGGACAAAGGCACCAAGGACAGCTATGCCATCCAGTGTCTGCAGAAGTCGCTAGAAGCAGACCCCAACTCTGGACAGTCCTGGTACTTCCTCGGCAGGTAAGAGGCTTTCCTTTTTCTTTTGTTGACATTTTCATTCATTGTGAATTCCTGCTGGCTCTAGTTACCCTTTAGCAGGTGTGTAAGGCTCAACAGCAGTGTATTGAATAGGACTCTGCCCGGAAGGCAGCAAAGCTCAACAGTCTTGTCTGTTCTCGTCTACTGGGTTCAGCCCCAGTTTCACCTGTTTCACTACACTCTACAGGCCTAGACACTCTAGCTGTTTCAGAGCCTCATTGTCTGCTCTTCTGAACGCACTGATTATTGATCAGTCTACTCACTGGGAAGACAGCTCATTCTTGTTACACAGACACCTAAAGATGTCATTTTATGTATTTTTTATTTCAGTTTGCCTTTCTGCTATTCCACACACTTTTATCATGGCTTAGGCTTACTTATTTTATCCACTTTATTATGGATCATTAGGGTACAGTTGACATGGTTGGGCTAGTGCTAACCTAACGTAGCATGTGTAAAATAAATGCCTGAAACTAGATCCCCTACATACTGGTCTTGACGAGAATACAAAAAACTGTCGGGGGAGGTTCTCCTGCACTGCTTAACAAATCTGGTAAATGTGGAGGAGTTAAAGGTGTTACATATAGTTTTTATTTTATTTAATTTTTTGCATTGCAATTTCTGAAAATGTCCATAATATATCTGCAGTAATAGTGGAATGATAGTGTTTCACAGTATTACTTACCTGACGGTGTTGTGATTGGCTGTGATATTCTCATATTGATTTCTCCCACCGGCATCTGACTGTGTTAGCTAGTGGAAATCGTGTCAAGCGGCCAATGTAGAAATCGCGCTGTCATTTCCTGGTTGCTAAAATTCTACACTGTTTCGCTCAATTTCAGTTTATGTGAGACAACAAGCACTGAATAATGTAGGGAATCATTGTACCATCAAAATTGCTGTGAAATATATTTTCAATAACAAAAAATCGTTTTTACAGCTGTTTGAAGCTGGTGGACCAAAACCAAAAGTAAAAGGCTCAAGCGTGTTATGGGGAAATGGGATGTGGGGCAGGGGGAGATTTGTTTTTAATGCAGCTTAGTGCTGTTGCAATTCACCTAGTTTCCACATAGGGGAGACATTCTAGGTGTAGCACCTTTTAAGATGGAGTGTCGCCTTGTTAACATCCAAAAAAGTCACATCACAGGCTCTCTACATTTCCCCTGAAAACCGGAACATTGTTGGGTACTCGGCGGAGGCTAGGCTAGTGCAGCCAGTGTTGCAGTGGATAGATGCCCTCTTGTCTGTCAGCCCAGCCCTTTAGTCCAGGTGCTAGGATAGGCTACATCCTGTAGTAAAACGGAGAGCTGTAGAATGTTGTTATGTTAGCGACTATGAAGCTAATGGCTAGCAGGAGTGCTATAGCTGGGGAGCTGCTAAAGCTTAGTGCTGATACGGTTTGCTATTGTTTGTAGTCTAGTGTGGTAATGTCAGAGTAGTGCCACTCTGAATGCAACGGCTGAGCTGTAGTCACACTGGGCTGTTTAGTCTGCTGTATCTGGGTGTGGAGTGTTAGCTGCAGGGAAGCTAACAGCTAATAGTTACTAGCAGACCATAGGAAGGCTGGTACATATGGCACAGTTATATAGTCTAGCCTACTAAATGCAAAAACTGAGGGCTGTAGCAAAACAGTGTATGTCTGGCTGGCTAGCTCTGTCTGTTGCAGGCTGACTGTCTGTCTCTCTGACTGTCTCTGTCTATCTCTCTGACATGCTGTCTCTCTGACTATCTTTGTATTCATATTCATATTGATAGTAACTAAGCATAATGTGTGTTTCTCTCCAGGTGCTACTCCAGTATTGGGAAAGTCCAGGATGCCTTCATCTCCTACAGACAGTCCATTGACAAGTCTGAGGCCAGCGCTGACACCTGGTGCTCCATAGGGTAAGACCTGACACACTGCAGCCAGTGTACAGTGAGGGAAAAAAGTATTTGATCCCCTGCTGATTTTGTACATTTGCCCACTGACAAAGACATGATCAGTCTATAATTTTAATGGTAGGTTTATTTGAACAGTGAGAGACAGAATAACAACACAAAAATCCAGAAAAACGCATGTCAAAAATGTTATAAATTGATTTGCATTTTAATGAGGGAAATAACTATTTGACCCCTCTGCAAAACATGACTTAGTACTTGGTGGCAAAACCCTTGTTGGCAATCACAGAGGTCAGACGTTTCTTGTAGTTGGCCACCAGGTTTGCACACATCTCAGGAGGGATTTTGTCCCACTTCTCTTTGCAGATCTTCTCCAAGTCATTAAGGTTTCGAGGCTAAGGTTTGGCAACTCGAACCTTCAGCTCCCTCCACATATTTTCTATGGGATTAAGGTCTGGAGACTGGCTAGGCCACTCCAGGACCTTAACGTGCTTCTTCTTGAGCCACTCCTTTGTTGCCTTGGCCGTGTGTTTTGGGTCATTGTCATGCTGGAATACCCATCCACGACCCATTTTCAATGTCCTGGCTGAGGGAAGGAGGTTCTCACCCAAGATTTGATGGTACATGGCCCCGTCCATCGTCCCTTTTGATGTGGTGAAGTTGTCCTGTCCCCTTAGCAGAAAAACACCCCCAAAGCATAATGTTTCCATCTCCATGTTTGACGATGGGGATGGTGTTCTTGGGGTCATAGGCAGCATTCCTCCTCCTCCAAACACGGCGAGTTGAGTTGATGCCAAAGAGCTCGATTTTGGTCTCATCTGACCACAACACTTTCACCCAGTTCTCCTGTGAATCATTCAGATGTTCATTGGAAAACTTCAGACGGGCCTGTATATGTGCTTTCATGAGCAGGGGGCCCTTGCGGGCGCTGCAGGATTTCAGTCCTTCACGGCGTACTGTGTTACCAATTGTTTTCTTGGTGACTATGGTCCCCGCTGCCTTGAGATCATTGACAAGATCCTCCCGTGTAGTTCTGGGCTGATTCCTCACCATTCTCATGATCATTGCAACTCCACGAGGTGAGATCTTGCATGGAGCCCCAGGCCGAGGCAGATTGACAGTTCTTTTGTGTTTCTTCCATTAGCGAATAATCGCACCAACTGTTGTCACCTTCTCACCAAGCTGCTTGGCGATGGTCTTGTAGCCAATTCCAGCCTTGTGTAGGTCTACAATCTTGTCCCTGACATCCTTGGAGAGCTCTTTGGTCTTGGCCATGGTGGAGAGTTTGGAATCTGATTGATTGATTGCTTCTGTGGACAGATGTCTTTTATACAGGTAACAAACTGAGATTAGGAGCACTCCCTTTAAGAGTTTGCTCCTAATCTCAGCTCATTACCTGTATAAAAGACACCTGGGAGCCAGAAATCTTTCTGATTGAGAGGGGTCAAATACTTATTTCCCTCATTAAAATGCAAGTCAATTTATAACATTTTTGCCATGCGTTTTTCTGGATTTTTTTGTTGTTATTCTGTCTCTCACTGTTCAAATAAACCTACCATTAAAATGATAGACTGATAATTTCTTTGTCAGTGGGTATACGTACAAAATCAGAAGGGGATCAAATACTTTTTTCCCTCACTGTATACTCACCTGTCAACTGTCTGGCTGTAGGACCCTTGGAGAAGTCATGAAGGATTACTCAATCTGATGGAGTACAGTGTTTCCCCTATGATTTTTTTCAGCAGAGGTGGCAAAGTTGGGGTGGGCGTGGCGGCTGTGGGCGTGGCCAATGGCACAGTTTTAGAGGCTCTCTTGGATGCAGAGACACAATTTTGCGGTTTTCAAGCTAGTTTCCTGCAATTCTACACATTTTGCCATGGCTTATGCCATGTTCTTATGTTATCTGAGTGATTCAAGCATAATAACAAAATCAATGGGGGCTGTCTAGTTTTTATTTTGGAGATTGTTAGTTCTCAAAGATCTTTATTTAAAAATATATATTGCTCCAATATGTTTTCTACATACTTTATCTCTGGTTTTAGTCATTTAAGTTTACACTGGAACTTTTTACCACCCCCTATATGCTAAATGCATATAGGGGAAACACTGTAATGTGTGGATGTGAGTGTTGGCCATAGCAATAGGATTGGAACAGCAGTATTAGCCTATGTCTCTACAGTCTTGGTGCAGTACCGTCTCAAGGGATAACTGCAGCTGAGAGGGCCCTCAAAGGGGCTGGTCTGGACCCTAGGGGACCCTGCAGCTCCGCACTGCAACGGCAGAGGCAGAGGGGGAGTGAGGGGTCCCTAGCGAGTGAAGTATGGATAGACTTTGGGTGTGGCCACCTCAGGGAGAGAGTACACTAAAAACCTTGCCCCCCTCTCCCCGTCACTTATTCTTTCTCACTTTCTCTCTTCCATCCCCCTCTCTCTCTCTCCGTCCCTCCCCTAGTGTGTTGTACCAGCAGCAGAACCAGCCTATGGACGCACTGCAGGCTTACATCTGTGCAGTGCAGCTGGACCACAGTCACGCAGCTGCCTGGATGGACCTGGGCACGCTCTACGAATCCTGCGGGCAGCCGCACGACGCCATCAAGTGTTACATCAACGCCACGCGCAGCAAGGCCTGCACTAACACCGCCGCCCTCACACACCGCATTAAACTGCTACAGGTAGGCAGGGAGAAGAGATACACATGCAGAGATGTACACACACACACACACACACACACACACATATATACAGTGGGGGAAAAAAGTATTTAGTCAGCCACCAATTGTGCAAGTTCTCCCACTTAAAAAGATGAGAGAGGCCTGTAATTTTCATCATAGGTACACGTCAACTATGACAGACAAAATGAGATTTTTTTTCTCCAGAAAATCACATTGTAGGATTTTTTATGAATTTATTTGCAAATTATGGTGGAAAATAAGTATTTGGTCAATAACAAAAGTTTCTCAATACTTTGTTATATACCCTTTGTTGGCAATGACACAGGTCAAACGTTTTCTGTAAGTCTTCACAAGGTTTTCACACACTGTTGCTGGTATTTTGGCCCATTCCTCCATGCAGATCTCCTCTAGAGCAGTGATGTTTTGGGGCTGTCGCTGGGCAACACGGACTTTCAACTCCCTCCAAAGATTTTCTATGGGGTTGAGATCTGGAGACTGGCTAGGCCACTCCAGGACCTTGAAATGCTTCTTACGAAGCCACTCCTTCGTTGCCCGGGCGGTGTGTTTGGGATCATTGTCATGCTGAAAGACCCAGTCACGTTTCATCTTCAATGCCCTTGCTGATGGAAGGAGGTTTTCACTCAAAATCTCACGATACATGGCCCCATTCATTCTTTCCTTTACACGGATCAGTCGTCCTGGTCCCTTTGCAGAAAAACAGCCCCAAAGCATGATGTTTCCACCCCCATGCTTCACAGTAGGTATGGTGTTCTTTGGATGCAACTCAGCATTCTTTGTCCTCCAAACACGACGAGTTGAGTTTTTACCAAAAAGTTCTATTTTGGTTTCATCTGACCATATGACATTCTCCCAATCCTCTTCTGGATCATCCAAATGCACTCTAGCAAACTTCAGACGGGCCTGGACATGTACTGGCTTAAGCAGGGGGACACGTCTGGCACTGCAGGATTTGAGTCCCTGGCGGCGTAGTGTGTTACTGATGGTAGGCTTTGTTACTTTGGTCCCAGCTCTCTGCAGGTCATTCACTAGGCGGTGTGGTTCTGGGATTTTTGCTCACCGTTCTTGTGATCATTTTGACCCCACGGGGTGAGATCTAGGGAGATTATCAGTGGTCTTGTATGTCTTCCATTTCCTAATAATTGCTCCCACAGTTGATTTCTTCAAACCAAGCTGCTTACCTATTGCAGATTCAGTCTTCCCAGCCTGGTGCAGGTCTACAATGTTGTTTCTGTGTCCTTTGACAGCTCTTTGGTCTTGGCCATAGTGGAGTTTGGAGTGTGACTGTTTGAGGTTGTGGACAGGTGTCTTTTATACTGATAACAAGTTCAAACAGGTGCCATTAATACAGGTAACGAGTGGAGGACAGAGGAGCCTCTTAAAGAAGAAGTTACAGGTCTGTGAGAGCCAGAAATCTTGCTTGTTTGTAGGTGACCAAATACTTATTTTCCACCATAATTTGCAAATAAATTCATAAAAAATCCTACAATGTGATTTTCTGGAAAAAAAAATCTCAATTTGTCTGTCATAGTTGACGTGTACCTATGATGAAAATTACAGGCCTCTCTCATCTTTTTAAGTGGGAGAACTTGCACAATTGGTGGCTGACTAAATACTTTTTTTTCCCCCACTGTGTGTGTGTGTGTGTGTGTATATATATATATATATATATATATATATATATATATATATATATATATATATATATATATATATATATATATATATATATATATATATATATATATATATATATATATATATATATATATTATATATATATATACATATACATACAGTGGGGAGAACAAGTATTTGATACACTGCCGATTTTGCAGGTTTTCCTATTTACAAAGCATGTAGAGGTCTGTAATTTTTATCATAGGTACACTTCAACTGTGAGAGACGGAATCTAAAACCCAGAAAATCACATTGTATGAATTTTAAGTAATTCATTTGCATTTTATTGCATGACATGAGAATTTTATACATCAGAAAAGCAGAACTTAATATTTGGTACAGAAAACTTTGTTTGCAATTACAGAGATCATACGTTTCCTGTAGGTCTTGACCAGGTTTGCACACACTGCAGCAGGGATTTTGGCCCACTCCTCCATACAGACCTTCTCCAGATCCTTCAGGTTTCGGGGCTGTCGCTGGGCAATACGGACTTTCAGCTCCCTCCAAAGATTTTCTATTGGGTTCAGGTCTGGAGACTGGCTAGGCCACTCCAGGACCTTGAGATGCTTCTTACAGAGCCACTCCTTAGTTACCCTGGCTGTGTGTTTCGGGTCGTTGTCATGCTGGAAGACCCAGCCACGACCCATCTTCAAAGCTCTTACTGAGGGAAGGAGGTTGTTGGCCAAGATCTCGCGATACATGGCCCCATCCATCCTCCCCTCAATACGGTGCAATCGTCCTGTCCCCTTTGCAGAAAAGCATCCCCAAAGAATGATGTTTCCACCTCCATGCTTCACCGTTGGGATGGTGTTCTTGGGGTTGTACTCATCCTTCTTCTTCCTCCAAACACGGCGAGTGGAGTTTAGACCAAAAAGCTCTATTTTTGTCTCATCAGACCACATGACCTTCTCCCATTCCTCCTCTGGATCATCCAGATGGTCATTGGCAAACTTCAGACGGGCCTGGACATGCGCTGGCTTGAGCAGGGGGACCTTGGGTGCGCTGCAGGATTTTAATCCATGACGGCGTAGTGTGTTACTAATGGTTTTCTTTGAGACTGTGGTCCCAGCTCTCTTCAGGTCATTGACCAGGTCCTGCCGTGTAGTTCTGGGCTGTTCCCTCACCTTCCTCATGATCATTGATGCCCCACGAGGTGAGATCTTGCATGGAGCCCCAGACCGAGGGTGATTGACCGTCATCTTGAACTTCTTCCATTTTCTAATAATTGCACCAACAGTTGTTGCCTTCTCACCAAGCTGCTTGATTATTGTCCTGTAGCCCATCCCAGCTTTGTGCAGGTCTACCATTTTATCCCTGATGTCCTTACACTGCTCTCTGGTCTTGGCCATTGTGGAGAGGTTGGAGTCTGTTTGATTGAGTGTGTGGACAGGTGTCTTTTATACAGGTAACGAGTTCAAACAGGTGCAGTTAATACAGGTAATGAGTGGAGAACAGGAGGGCTTCTTAAAGAAAAACTAACAGGTCTGTGAGAGCCGGAATTCTTACTGGTTGGTAGGTGATCAAATACTTATGTCATGCAATAAAATGCAAATTAATTACTTATTAATCATACAATGTGATTTTCTGGATTTGTCTCTCACAGTTGAAGTATACCTATGATAAAAATTACAGACCTCTACATGCTTTGTAAGTAGGAAAACCTGCAACATCGGCAGTGTATCAAATACTTGTTCTCCCCGCTGTATATATATACGCACACACACACACACATGCACACACACATGCACACACCAACCAAACAGTAACAAAAGATTTCAGCTGGCCCTTTTCTGTTAAACGTTGTGGTGTGTATTGGGTTGTTTTGTGCTTTGTTGTGTTGTGGTGTATCATGCAAGTGTTTTTAAGAGCTCTATTTTGTACATTTGTTTATTGTTTATTTTACGGACTGTGATGTAATTCTGTGATTTTTGATTTGACTCATTGAGATATGAACACTGATTCATATTGATGCGATACTACACATTCTCATCAGTAATCGTAAAGACAATCTCATGGCATTGCCCATTCTTTGAGTGATTCTTTTCATTTGACTTTATCTCATCTCTGAAGAGGCTGTATTTCATGTACAATTACCTATACTATAACTGATTGACTTAGTAGATAATATTACAGTACTATACTCCACAAGGTGCTCAGTCCGTAGTGTCAGTGGATTGTCCTACCGTACCTTAAACCAGTACTGAAATGTGTCTTTTACGCCATTTCCTCCTATAGGCTCAGTTGTGTAACCCTCAGCCAGGTAGTCTTGCAGGGGGGAAGGGTACTAAAATGCTTCCTAGTATTGAGGAGGCGTGGAGCCTGCCCATCCCCGCTGAGCTCACCTCCAGACAGGGGGGCCTGAACACTGCAGCAGGCAGCCCAGGGTCACAGACACAGCAGCAGCAGGTGAGACCACAAGAGACCCCCCCCCCCAACACCTCCCCAGCCCAAACAGATACTACTACTGCCTAACCTGTCCTGGTGCATCTCAATAGTCTTCTCCTTTTCTCTCCTCTCATTGGCACTGATCGGAAAACTCATGATAGGTGAAATACAGTGGATGCCCACTGGCAATATTTGCATTCAACTGTCTAGAAACGTTTGCATCAGTACAGAAAGAGCAAAGGAGTTGAGACGAGAGAATCGTCCTCACTAACACTAACCTCACATACAGTAGATTTAGTAGATGTAATTCTCTGTGTGGTTCCTAATACAACAGTACAAGTCATCAGTCAATGGTACTCTCACTCACCCATCAACTCTGTTTAAATATGACATGCACAGAATGAATGGAAACTACTGATATGTTATTGTTATATGTTAGTGACACTGAATGATATCTGATGAATTCTCAACTTGCCTGCCTTGCCTTTTTTTCTTGGACGACCGTTTGACATTAAAACTACCTTGGCACCAAAGGTTTGATGGCAAACGGTGGTAACCCAAATATTTAATTTCCTTACATTTCATATCAAATTCATCTCATTCCTCCTGCCAAGAAAAAAGACAAGACTGTCACACACTGTTGGCTCTGAGATTCCTGATTAGAAGTATCAATTAGGTTGTTGTCGGGGTTGTGGTATCTGTTCTTAGTCCAAACCCTCTACACATAATAACAGAACCATCCTCCCCCCTCCTTTCCTGCCTCTCCCAATAACCCTCCTCCCCCTCTCCCCCATAACCCTCCTCTCCTGCCTCTCCCCCAGGCGTCTAAGTCCCACCAGGGTGGTGAGGGAGGCCAGGTCCAAACGCACGTCTCCCCCCATCCCAGCCACACTGATGGACAGGCCAGCCCCGCCAAGAGGAAACGTACCGCCAGCCCGGCTAAGGTATGGTTCAGTCTTTAACAATGTTCCTTCCATTTTTTTCCGGCACTGAGCAAATTTCAGGTCTGCTGAGCGCAAACTTGAACGCTGTAAAGATTCTGTGCAACTTCTGGCCCGCATATACTGTGAACACTGAGGCTGTACCCGCTTTAAGTTAGTTATAACAGTGGCCAAGTAGGCTACTGTGGCTATTTGATCATAATGTAGGCCTATCAGAGTGGCCTACCATAAAAAAACAATGGAGAAAATGCATCCCATAACATTTAAAATGGAAATAGCTGTTCTATCATTCCTTCAGCCTACAGTAGTAGCCAATGTGTGGTGTTCAATGTAGGCCTATATTCCATGAGACTTTTGAAAAAAACATGTAGGGATTGACATTAAGCTGTTTATCCAGTTGTCCTTCAGACAAGGAGGTAACTGAAAATGTTGTTGAAGAAACTACTTTACAAAATAAAATGCATTATTATTCCCATACCATTATTACAGAGAATCCGACAAATTATGCTACCCTCTGCCTATTGGCTACTTAGCTTATTCAACACTGCCCCAAAATACAACACTGCCCCTTACAGAAAAAAAGCTCTTTACCTGACTTGCTTTTCAAAGATGGCTAGAAATGCACGTTTTGTGCTCTTGTTGGAAGCAACCACTCCCCCATTGCTGACTAGAAATTAGATATAACTGGGCTAATAACTCACTAGCAAAGAATATGAACAAATATACACACCTGGCTACATGCAGTTCTTGCTTTGATCTCAAAACAACTGCATTTACTCACGACCACTCATGCTGTAAACACAGTCCAGTTCAAAGTGAATGGCACAGATCCATATGTACAATGGTCTATTTGCATATAGGGATACTGCAGCTCTGATTGGTTATGGCGCACCGGTCTGTGTAGAGTACGGGCCTGAGTCATGACTGTCAATGCAATCGAATCCTACTCCAATGCGCTCTGCCTACAAGAAAATCTCTTGCATAGTTCGTTTTGTTTCGGTATGTTGCATTGAAAGTGGCTAATATTGCGTTGATTCGATCACAATTTGCACAGTAGAGGGAAACGTTGATAGTGTTAACTAAAGGGGAAAACTAGAAAGTTGAGTGAAGTTCAATCTCGTGCTTCTCTGCGCGGGCTGATATTTCTGCAGTCCTGGGGGAGCTGCACGCAGCTTAGAGGGACCATTGGTCCTTAACCCAGCCTAATCTCAGAACCCAGAACCAAATGTCTGTCACGCCAACTGACCCTATACCAGCTTTGTGAAAGCAAATAGGAATGATGCTGAAATTGTTACAAGCTTTATTGCCAAGTATCTCTCTCTGATCCCACAGAGTGCTGTGGACTCGTGGACAAACCACCCGGTACAACAGCAGATCCCCAGCTGGTACCTAACACCACAGAAGCTACAGGTGGGTTCTGCTCTTCCAATCAAACCATACCAGTGTCTGATTCTAATCAAATGAGTCAGACCTGAACTGTATTTGTTACATGTGAGTCATTTTACAGACTCTACAGCCCTTCTCCAAAGCAACTTTGCAGTATAAAGCAACTTGCGTACTGAATAGTAAGCATAAAAAGCCATAAGCAAAACACTTCAGAATGTAAATAGTTAACGATGGTTCTAAATGTCATTACATTTCCGTCCTCTTCTAGCTCCTGGATCAGCTCCGGACCAACCGTGCCAGTCTGAAACCACCACAGGTGCAGATGCTGGACCAGCTGGAAAACCAGTTCTCCCTCATGCAGCAGCATCAACATCAGGTACACACACTCACTGACACCTGGGGCTTTATGTATAACTTCAGCCAGCATTCCCCTCCACTATGTAAAGACATTTGGAGTGATATAGATAAGCAAACACCACACATTTTTGTATAAACAGTATTCAAACTGTTCTGTCTCGCTCCCATCACCCCTTTAATTGGCTAGGTGAGACAGCAGGCTGCAGGACAGTTGCGGCCCACCCTACCCAATGGCCCCTCGCTGTCCCCAAACTCCCTCCCCTCCCCTCACCCCCTCTCCCGGACTTCACCCGTCAGTCAAACCACAGCCCGCCCCCCCTGCACTGCTCAGCCAATGGCCAACATACCTTTATCTTCAAGTCCCCTTGGGCGGCGAGGCAATCCAGAGGCGGGAACTGTGGGCAATAATCGCACTCCCGGTCTACCGGGTGCAGGGACGTTACCGGGCGGTCTAATGGGAGGTGGCGGGAGTAACGGAAACATGCCTTACCTACAGCAGAACTGTCTACCTCACAACTGCACAGCCACCAGTACCAGTAATCTCAGTACCCCCACCAGCAACAACACCAGTCACAGCAGTAATAATACCAGTAATGCAGAGGAGGCCTGGAAGAGCCAGCAACGCACCAACTCCACTCAGGTACATATCTCTTTGTTTCAGTCTCTCTTTAATTCTGACTAGTTCTTTATCTCGCTCTCACTTTCACTCTTGTTCTTTCTTGCTTGCTAACTGTCTATCTGTATCTATGTTGTAGGGATGTAACTTTTCACCGATATGCATCGGTCCCCGATTCAAATGTTAAAGATAAGACTGCATCGGTCCGCAGACCCCTAACCGATCCAAATGTAGCATGCATCGGGCGGTCAGGAAATCTATTTAAATGTTACTAATTGCCAATTCATTAAAATGTTTTGCTCATATTACTTTCTTTCTAACTTCCGAAAATACCTCCCATCTTTTGTGACAATTGATGCGGCCTTCCCTTCAGTGTCGAACTAAGCATATAACTGTTGAGTCATTGATCTACAAGTCATTTTTGCATGCCGAACAACCCTAGGTAATATCAGTAGCCTAATGAAACTGTGCACTGTTCCCAGCTCCGTGCACTGACCAACGCGAGGTAGGCAGCCTGTTCCTGATCTTGCACATCTGCGCGGCACCTTAAGCATTCAAATGCTAAAATGGCTAGCCTGATATTAAGCTTTATTAGTTGAGTGACAACTTGCTAGGTTATTGTTACCAATGCACTATTATAAACTGGGTGGTTTGAGCCCTGAATGCTGATTAGCTGACAGCCGTGGTATATCAGACTCTATACCACGGGTATGACAAAACATGTATTTTTACTGCTCTAATTATGTTGGTAAGCAGTTTATAATAGCAATAAGGCACCTCGGGGGGTTGTGATATATGGCCAATATACCACAGCTAAGGCCGGTGTCCAGGCACTCTGCATTGCATCGTGCGTAAGAACAGTCTTTAGCCGTGGTATATTGGCCATATACCACACCCCCTCGGGCATTATTGCTTAATTGACAATGGTGTTATAAAAGTAAGCTACTGGAGAGACAACTCTCATCTGGCTATACCTGCTGAACGGGGCTTACAATCATTTTATTTTGATTGTTCAGGTTCACCATCCGCAATAGTTTCGGTCGTTTTGCTTTAAACAATCAGTGTACAGCAAACATTAGGAACACCTTCCTAATATTGAGTTGCGATTTTGAGATGGGGGGGTGAAATCCAAAATCCATTCAAGGAGATGCACACAAACGCAGAAGTCAGCGCAGACAGATCCAGCTCATGAGCTCAATCAGCAGCAGATTTTAATTTAGAATGGAAAATGTTTATGCAGCAAAATGTTAGTGAATCGTATCGCATCAAACCGAATAATTTCAAACTAAAACGTATTGTTCCTGTATCGGAGCCCATGCATCTAGCTAGATACAGTGGGGAGAACAAGTATTTGATACACTGCCGATTTTGCAGGTTTTCCTACTTACAAAGCATGTAGAGGTCTGTAATTTTTATCATAGGTACACTTCAACTGTGAGAGACGGAATCTAAAACAAAAATCCAGAAAATCACATTGTATGATTTTTAAGTAATTATTTTGCAATGTATTGCATGACATAAGTATTTGATACATCAGAAAAGCAGAACTTAATATTTGGTACAGAAACCTTTGTTTGCAATTACAGAGATCATACGTTTCCTGTAGGTCTTGACCAGTTTGGCACACACTGCAGCAGGGATTTTGGCCCACTCCTCCATACAGACCTTCTCCAGATCCTTCAGGTTTCGGGGCTGTCGCTGGGCAATACGGACTTTCAGCTCCCTCCAAAGATTTTCTATTGGGTTCAGGTCTGGAGACTGGCTAGGCCACTCCAGGACCTTGAGATGCTTCTTACGGAGCCACTCCTTAGTTGCCCTGGCTGTATGTTTTGGGTCGTTGTCATGCTGGAAGACCCAGCCACGACCCATCTTCAATGCTCTTACTGAGGGAAGGAGGTTGTTGGCCAAGATCTCACGATACATGGCCCCATCCATCCTCCCCTCAATACGGTGCAGTCGTCCTGTCCCCTTTGCAGAAAAGCATCCCCAAAGAATGATGTTTCCACTTCCATGCTTCACGGTTGGGATGGTGTTCTTGGGGTTGTACTCATCCTTCTTCTTCCTCCAAACACGGCGAGTGGAGTTTAGACCAAAAAGCTCTATTTTTGTCTCATCAGACCACATGACCTTCTCCCATTCCTCCTCTGGATCATCCAGATGGTCATTGGCAAACTTCAGACGGGCCTGGACATGCGCTGGCTTGAGCAGGGGGACCTTGGGTGCGCTGCAGGATTTTAATCCATGACGACGTAGTGTGTTACTAATGGTTTTCTTTGAGACTGTGGTCCCAGCTCTCTTCAGGTCATTGACCAGGTCTTGCCGTGTAGTTCTGGGCTGATCCCTCACCTTCCTCATGATCATTGATGCCCCACGAGGTGAGATCTTGCATGGAGCCCCAGACCGAGAGTGATTGACCGTCATCTTGAACTTCTTCCATTTTCTAATAATTGCGCCAACAGTTGTTGCCGTCTCACCAAGCTGCTTGCCTATTGTCCTGTAGCCCATCCCAGCCTTGTGCAGGTCTACAATTTTATCCCTGATGTCCTTACACAGCTCTCTGGTCTTGGCCATTGTGGAGAGGTTGGAGTCTGTTTGATTGAGTGTGTGGACAGATGTCTTTTATACAGGTAACGAGTTCAAACAGGTGCAGTTAATACAGGTAATGAGTGGAGAACAGGAGGGCTTCTTAAAGAAAAACTAACAGGTCTGTGAGAGCTGGAATTCTTAATGGTTGGTAGGTGATCAAATACTTATGTCATGCAATAAAATGCAAATTAATTACTTAAAAATCATACAATGTGATTTTCTGGATTTTTGTTTTAGATTCCGTCTCTCACAGTTGAAGTGTACCTATGATAAAAAGTACAGACCTCTACATGCTTTGTAAGTAGGAAAACTGCAAAATCGTCAGTGTATCAAATACTTGTTCTCCCCACTGTACGTAGCGAATCCTCTTGAAAGGGAAAGGTGCATATCCCTGCTATCTTGTGAATTCTCTATTGCTCCCTCTTTCACTCAACCTCCTTTTTTTTGCTCTGACTTGGTCTGTCACTTCCTTTCTTGTTTTGCATCTCATTAACTGTCTTGACCCTCATATCTGATCAGTCTTAGTTTTTTTTCTCCTCTCTATCCAGGGGCTTCACAAAGGTCCAGGTTCACATTCGGCAGGTCCCAATGGAGAACACCCTTTCTCTTCTCCCTCCTCCCATCCCTCACAGGCCGCTGGCTCCGGTGATCAAATTCTAAATCAGGTCGGACATTCCACCGGGCCCTGCCCTGCCTCCTCTTCCTCCTTCTCCTCTTCGCTCCAGAGGGGCGGTGCCCCCAACCACCTCCACTCCGCCACCACTACCTCAGGGGCCCAAACCAAAGAGGCAACGCCTTCAGGAAGCAACAGCAGCAGTAGATTGGCTACCACCGCAGGAACGTCGCTCAGTCCCGGTACCACCGCCCCTACGCAGGGATTGGCTAATCACATCCAGCAGGGGGCGGTGACTACCACAGACAGCTCGTGGAGCCAATCCCAGCCCGGCTCTCCTCCTCCGGGCACACTCAGTTCAGACAATCCTCAACTCTCAGCCTTGCTCACGGGAAAAGCCAGTAATAAGGATGTTACTAACCACAATAAGAATAATAATCACGGTGGTGTTAATCAAGGAGCCACCATGGACAATAACATCAAGGTAAACAACATCCACCCCGGTGTCCACCACAGAGGTCCCAAACCCCTGTCGGAACACTCTGTGGCCTCCTCGCCCCTCTCAGCCATGTCCGCCTCCACCCCCTCCCCCCCACGCTTCACCGACCCCCACCCCCCCACAGCCTATAGCCTCACCAGCCTTATCAGCAGCCCGTCCAACAGCGGGACCACCGGTACCGCCACCACTACCCCACAGGTCAACGGTAAGGGGCTAGAGGACTCTCGGAGCCCAGTGAAGGTGTTTCACAGCAGGCCGGCCCTGGCCCCATGGTCCTCAGTCTCCATCTACCCCAGCTCCAGCCAGGTGCTCAAAGCATGCAGGTAGGACATCATATCCTTCTGTCCCATCAGTCACATTTCATTTGCAGCCTTTTAAGTGCTTTTTTAAAGAAGTGTATGGCCATAGGAGGGATGTTTCAAATGCTATGTGTTCTAATGCAATGTAGTGTCTTTTCCTTGTAAATGCCATACCAACTAGAGCAGTGATATTCAAACTTTTTCAGCCGGGACCTCGTTTTTTCTCCCCAGAATATCTGGGGACCCCATTTTTGGGCTGGAATTTGACTCCAAATCTAATGACACAACCTTCAAATCTGCAAATAACCGTAAATTCATTATTTTCATCTCCTATCAAAATGAAAAGAAACCAATAAATACATTTACTTATTTTCTTCCTTCAAATTAGCTTTCTTGTATATTGTCCCATACAACAATCTGTACTCTTAATGTTATGTTCCAATTTTGGCGACCCCACTGCAATTCCCCCGCCAGCTCAACTTTTAATACCCTGAACTAGAGTCAACTGTCTGTGTCATATGGAGTTTACTGTGGTGGTCTCTGCTGACTGTTTGTTTTTGGTGAGAAAGCTGACTGTTTGGTTTGAGTTGCCACTTGAAGGTCTTGGTGCTGTAGCTGTCCAGCCTGGCCGTATTGGCCAGTTAGCCCCTAGCCTGGCCTGGCCTGTTTCAGTTCTGGGCTGCCAAATAGTTTATTTGTGGCCCACAGACTGTGGGGAGTGTGCTCTGATGTAGGTCAGGCCATCAGTGGGTTGGAGAGATGTTGTGCTGATGACTAGGTAGGTGGCTAATGTTTCCAAAGGGGTATATATGGTGTGTACAGCGAGTGGCCAGTAACTGACATGGCTGTAGAGCTACTGACCAGTAAGCCATGTGTACACAACCTGAGCCATAGGTGTTATTCTACTGTACATATGACTATAGCTTCGGTGAACCGCTACTCTAGGCTTCTTTCTCTTACTGAGCCTCATAGTACAGGTTCCAGTTTTTCTGTTTTAACGGTGATCTGTTTTAATTGTGCTCCACAGTGCTTGTCTGTCTAGATTCCAGACTCATTGTGTTGGCTTGTGCTGCTGCTATTAGCTGAAACATGGTTCATCTCAGTGTCATTGAGCAGCCAGACATGATCTCTATCTCTCTCTATTCCCCCCCCCCCCCCCCCGTTCCTATGTCTTTAGGAACCTGGGGAAGAACGGCCTGTCCAACAGCAGTATCCTCCTGGAAAAGTGTCCCCCGCCCAGACCACCTCCGCCACCCTCTCCGTCACTGCCAAAGGACAAACTCAACCCCCCCACACCCAGCATCTACGTGAGTATACAGCCAGAAGGGTTTTTCATCATGTCTTGTTTGTTGGGATTTCATTACTTTTTACTTGCAAAAGTAAATGTTGTTTTCATCCTGAAGTTTGTAGTTGCGTCCATCGCTGTCCCAGGAAAACCCCTGTGGCAAAGATCTTAGACTTCATTAGAACTGTCTAGTTTGCAAGTCAAAAGTCTAATCTGTGTGTGTTTCTCTCCCGTGGTGTATAGCTGGAGAATAAGAGGGATGCGTTCTTCCCTCCACTCCATCAGTTCTGTACCAACCCCTCCAACCCTGTCACCGTCATCAGAGGGCTGGCCGGGGCGCTCAAACTGGGTGAGTTTTACACACACACACACACACTGATGGTAATCCTATACTGTCATTACACACTACTGCTGGGGGCATTACACTTTGCTTACACACTCTAGCAAAACAAACATTAGTCTTCTGTCTAGTCCTGATTGGGATCTCATTAGAATTTTGCTTGAACGTTTCTCCCCTAAGGACAGAAATAAAAGCTTTGTGTGTCGGTACGCACTCATTTGCTTATGTGTGTGAGGGTGTGTGTGCTTGCGCTCATTCACTCGCTCACAGGCTTGGGTGGGTGGGGGTGTGGGTGTTGAACAACTTAACGTGTTGAACAACTTAACATGTATGACAACAGCACCACCTGCAAGCAGAGAGTGTCATTACATGTACAGTAATATAGCATCTGAAGTAAAGTAGCTAACTGCTGCCAAGAAAAGCTATTGGCTCCCTCACTTCATCAGCTAGCTCACTACTGCATCACTGTGCTGTAGCACACCACACACACACACTAGAAACTCACTCTGAATCATTGGATGGATAAATAGCTTTTAGTTCATTAAGCTAGTTCTTCTGAACTCTGTGTTTTACTGCTCTGGGAAAGACTGTGCAGCCATAGCCGAAATTGGCTGATTTTCACTGACAGATGTTTTGTTGTTGCCCATGCCAGTTGGGAGTGGTACTAAACATCACATTTACCTTTTTTCCACCCTTCTTTCTCTCCCTCCATCCTTCTCTCCCTTCATCCTTCTCTCCCTCCATCCTTCTCTCCACCCCTCTCCCACCATCCTCCCTCCATCCCACCCTTCTCCCCCCTCCCCTCTGTCAGACCTGGGTCTGTTCTCCACTAAGACCCTGGTGGAGGCAAACCCAGACCACCTGGTGGAGGTGCGGACCCAGCTGTCTCAGCCCACCGACGAGAACTGGGACCTGAGTGGCACAAGGAAGATGTGGCGCTGTCAGAGCAGCCAATCACACACCACCATTGCCAAGTATGCCCAGTACCAGGCCTCGTCCTTCCAGGAGTCACTACGGGTTAGTAGAGGGAGATGTACGCACACACACACACACATACACAAAACCACCACCATCATTGCCAAACACACTCAATACAAGGCCTTGTTGAATAGAAAGTTTTGAGTGGTATGTTTTGTGTGGGGTCATTTAAGGTTACCGAGACGCACTCACCCACAGGCTCCTGTTCTCTGAGTGGTGTGTGTTCACTGGGCTGAGACGAACCCTTGTCAGGGAGCTGTCAGACAGTCACTGAATATTCACATGGTCACTCCTGACGTAGCTTTGTCACTTAAACAGAAAATCTTCCCGGCTTAGAATGTTTGTTATACTGCTATCCATTTACTGAAATCACACAATGAACAGCTCCAAATAAACCTATATTAAATGTATTTTCCAGGAGGAGAATGAGAAGAAGAAGGAGCTGGAGGCAGAGGCAGCCAATGCAGAGAGGTACGACGTCTCTCTCTGTCTGTCTGTAGGCATGCATTGTGTGATATCTCTCTGCTCTGTCTAAACTACATCTCCCATGATCCCACAGTGCGACGCGGCGGAGGAAAGGGCCCTTCAAACACATCAAGTTTGGCACCAACATCGACCTGTCTGACGAGAGAAAGTAAGTGTTCCACCCAATATTATGTGGTTCTGTTCATGAAATAGACTACTGATGTTTTGTCTTTAATATGACAATTTTCATATAAACAAGATTATAGCCTGGTCCCAAAACAACCCTTGTCCTTTCACCTATCCAGTCCCTTCAGATTTATAAACACAGAAGGCGTATGTCCTAGGTAGAAGGACTGGGCATTGGTATCATAAAGAGGATCCCTCAGGTTGGGAGCGGTGTGTGTCTGTGCTGTAGTGTTGACCTCTGACCCTTGCTCTGTGACCTCCTCCCAGGTGGAAGCTGCAGCTGCAGGAGCTCAGTAAGCTGCCAGCCTTTGCCAGGGTGGTGTCTGCTGGCAACCTGCTCAGCCACATAGGACACACCATCCTGGGCATGAACACTGTCCAGCTCTACATGAAGGTCCCCGGGAGCAGGACGCCAGGTTAGACACACACAGCGAGAGGCACACATGCCGCAGAGACACCCACCCACATGCATTAACACACACGTCCACACACATAATGTTTTCTTCTAGTAACTGTACTGTGTTTTGTTTTACAAGGTATTTGTGTCTTGTCTTTTAGGTCACCAGGAGAACAACAATTTCTGTTCAGTGAACATCAACATTGGCCCGGGGGACTGTGAGTGGTTTGCTGTGCCCGAACATTACTGGGGAATCATCAACGACTTCTGTGAAAAGTACGTAAACAAATATCTCCTACCTCTAACCCAAAACAAAGTTGATATGCTACCTCTGTCTCTTTACAGCCAGTGCAGTCTGTAAGGTTAGAGATGTCTTAACTCAAGTCTAACTCCGATTTAAGTGGTGTACTTGGCACCAATAAAAGGAAAGTGAATATCTCGTCTTTTCATTCATTGCAAATGTACATTTTATTTTTTATTTTTGAACTACCCAGAGTATGAGTAGGGGTCTTCAGAGTATGAGCGAGTGTCCATGTGCGTCCTCTGTTTCTAAGATCGGATGTGTGTGTCTGTCCTGCAGGAACAACATAAACTTCCTGATGGGCTCATGGTGGCCCAACCTGGAGGACCTGTACGAGGCAGACGTCCCTGTCTACCGCTTCATCCAGCGTCCCGGAGACCTGGTGTGGCTCAACACAGGCACCGTCCACTGGGTCCAGGCCATCGGCTGGTGCAACAACATCGCCTGGAACGTAGGACCTCTCACCGGTAAGACCGGGAGGGATATGGAGAACAGAGGGATATGCTTAAAATGGGAATACACGGTTGTTTTATGTAGAATTTGTTGGGAAATCATTCAAAGATGATATATGGATGCTGATTTGGCGTGGACTGACACTTTGAGATCGATGACCGACCAGCTCGATTCGGTCTTATGTAACAACATTTTTTATGGTGTTTTTTACATTGGATAAAAGTAGAGACTCCGAGCTAGAAAATGGTACACTACAGTTGAGAAACAATGAGAAAGTCACCCATGATTCACCAAATGATATTTTGAAGGAGGAAACAAAGTACTTTAAGAATATGTTTTATTTTCAGTCGCCTCCATCTCCTCTAACTGAAGCAAATTGTAGAGATTTTTTTTGTATTGATAATGTAAAATTAACAGCCATACAGAAAGACTCATGTGAAGGTGAAATTACAGAGGAGGAACTTCTGGATGCAATTAAAGACTTTAAGTCAGGGAAAACTCCAGGGTTGGATGGCATACCAGTTGAGGTATACCAAACCTTTTTTGATATACTCAGAGGACCATTATTAGCATGTTTTAACCACTCCTATGTAAATGGTAGATTATCAGACACTCAAGAAGATGGTCTGATTTAATTATTACTGAAACAGGATACAAGTGGAAAATAAAAAAATTAGAGGCCCCTTACACTTCAATGTTGTGATGCAAAAATTCTAGCAAAATGTATAGCTCATAGAATTAAAAAGGTATTGTCGGACATTATTCATTCTAATCAGACAGGTTTTTTACATGGGCGATACATTGGAGATAATATAAGGCAAGTACTGGAAACAATAGAACTCTTCGAAAAGGCATTTGATAAAGTACAACGGGGGTTTATACAGTGGGGGAAAAAAAGTATTTAGTCAGCCACCAATTGTGCAAGTTCTCCCACTTAAAAAGATGAGAGAGGCCTGTAATTTTCATCATAGGTACACGTCAACTATGACAGACAAATTGAGAAAAAAAATCCAGAAAATCACATTGTAGGATTTTTAATGAATTTATTTGCAAATTATGGTGGAAAATAAGTATTTGGTCACCCACAAACAAGCAAGATTTCTGGCTCTCACAGACCTGTAACTTCCTCTTTAAGAGGCTCCTCTGTTCTCCACTCGTTACCTGTATTAATGGCACCTGTTTGAACTTGTTATCAGTATAAAAGACACCTGTCCACAACCTCAAATAGTCACACTCCAAACTCCACTATGGCCAAGACCAAAGAGCTGTCAAAGGACACCAGAAACAAAATTGTAGACCTGCACCAGGCTGGGAAGACTGAATCTGCAATAGGTAAGCAGCTTGGTTTGAAGAAATCAACTGTGGGAGCAATTATTAGGAAATGGAAGACATACAAGACCACTGATAATCTCCCTCGATCTGGGGCTCCACGCAAGATCTCACCCCGTGGGGTCAAAATGATCACAAGAACGGTAAGCAAAAATCCCAGAACCACACGGGGGGCCTAGTGAATGACCTGCAGAGAGCTGGGACCAAAGTAACAAAGCCTACCATCAGTAACACACTACGCCGCCAGGGACTCAAATCCTGCAGTGCCAGACGTGTCCCCCTGCTTAAGCCAGTACAGGTCCAGGCCCGTCTGAAGTTTGCTAGAGTGCATTTGGATGATCCAGAAGAGGATTGGGAGAATGTCATATGGTCAGATGAAACCAAAATATAATTTTTTGGTAAAAACTCAACTCGTCGTGTTTGGAGGACAAATAATGCTGAGTTGCATCCAAAGAACACCATACCTACTGTGAAGCATGGGGGTGGAAACATCATGCTTTGGGGCTGTTTTTCTGCAAAGGGACCAGGACGACTGATCCGTGTAAAGGAAAGAATGAATGGGGCCATGTATCGTGAGATTTTGAGTGAAAACCTCCTTCCATCAGCAAGGGCATTGAAGATGAAACGTGGCTGGATCTTTCAGCATGACAATGATCCCAAACACACTGCCCGGGCAACGAAGGAGTGGCTTCATAAGAAGCATTTCAAGGTCCTGGAGTGGCCTAGCCAGTCTCCAGATCTCAACCCCATAGAAAATCTTTGGAGGGAGTTGAAAGTCTGTGTTGCCCAGCGACAGCCCCAAAGCATCACTGCTCTAGAGGAGATCTGCATGGACGAATGGGCCAAAATACCAGCAACAGTGTGTGAAAACCTTGTGAAGACTTACAGAAAACGTTTGACCTGTGTCATTGCCAACAAAGGGTATATAACAAAGTATTGAGAAACTTTTGTTATTGACCAAATACTTATTTTTTACCATAATTTGCAAATAAATTAAAAATCCTACAATGTGATTTTCTGGATTTTCTTTTCTCATTTTGTATGTCATAGTTGACGTGTACCTATGATGAAAATTACAGGCCTCATCTTTTTAAGTGGGAGAACTTGCTGACTAAATACTTTTTTCCCCCACTGTATATAAATGCCTGGAGCATTTCAATTTTGGACAATCTCTTATAAATTGGGTTAAAATCATGTATAGTAACCCTAGGTGTAAAATAGTAAATAATGGCTATTTCTTAGAAAGTTTTAAACTGTCAAGAGGAGTGAAACAAGGTTGTCCAAGATCGGCATATCTATTTATTATTGCCATCGAGATGTTAGCTATTAAAATCAGATCCAACAATAATATCAAGGGATTAGAAATCCAGGGCTTAAAAACAAAGGTGTCATTGTACGCTGATGATTCATGTTTTCTTTTAAATCCACAACTTGAATCCCTCCACAGCCTCATAGAGGATCTAGATACATTTTCTAACCTCTCTGGATTACAACCAAATTATGATAAATGTACGTATTAGATCACTAAAAAATAAAAATGTTACATTACCATGTAGTTTACCAATAAAATGGTCTGATGGTGATATGGATATACTCGGAATACATATCCCAAATGAAATAAATGATATCACTCCAATGCATTTTAATAGAAAGTTAGCAAAAATAGATAAGATCTCGCTACCATGGAAAGGTAAATACCTGTCAATTTGTGGAAAAATCACCCTGATTTAACTCTTTTTAGTATTATCCCAGTTTACCTACTTGCTTATGGTCTTGCCTACGCCCAGCGAACAGTTTTTTAAATTATATGAGATAAAAATATTCCATTTGATTTGGAACGGCAAGCCAGACAAAATTAAACAGGCCTATTTATATAATGAATATGAATTCGGAGGACAGAAATTATTAAATATTAAAGCATTAGACCTATCACTAAAAGCTTCAGTCATACAAAAGTTATAATAATAATAATAATATGCCATTTAGCAGACGCTTTTATCCAAAGCGACTTACAGTCATGCGTGCATACATTTTTGTGTATGGGTGGTCCCGGGGATCGAACCCACTACCTTGGCGTTACAAGCGCCGTGCTCTACCAGCTGAGCTACAGAGGACTTAAATCCGAACTGTTTCTCTAGCAAATTAGTAAAATTGTCTCACCCAATGTTCAAGAATGGCCTTTTTCCCTTCATTCAGATTACAACCTCTCACTTTAAGTTATTTGAAAAGGAAATAATCTCCCAAATATCACTATTTCTAAAACAAGCCATAGAAAGTTGGTTGCAATTTCAATTTAATCCTCCAGAAACGACAGAACAAATAATGCAACAAATAGTGGGTAAACTCAAATATACTCATTGATAAAAACCCTTTTTTGACAAAATGTTTTAAAAAAGGTATAATCTTCGTAAATGTTATTATCGGTAGGACTGGTGGAGTTATGTCGCACATGCAGCTAACAAAAACATATGGAAATGTCTGCTCTACCCAAAATTACAACCAAATAATTGCAGCATTACAGCAAAAATGGAAAAGGAAAGTGGAAGGGGGAAAAAGTAAGGAACTTGTCTGTTGGCCTTGCATTAAAGATTATAATTGGTTAAAGAAAATTGTGATAAATAAAAACGTATACCAGTTTCATTTAAGGACCAAAGGATTGACAGCCGTCCCATATAGATTGCAAAATAGTTGGGAAGAGATTTTTGACGTACCGATTCGATGGCATAGTGTTTATGAATTGATACGCAAAACGACGCCGGATTCAAAACTTAGAATATTTCAATTAAAATTATTATATAAAATTCTTGCGACCAATAGAATGTTATTTATATGGGGGATACAATCTTCCCAGCTCTGCAGATTTTGCTGTGAAGAGACATTTACATTACATTTGACATTTTAGTCATTTAGCAGACGCTCTTATCCATAGTGAGTGCATACATTTTTCATACTTTAATTTTTCAAATTTGAATCCACATTTGACATTTTATGTCATTACGTGAAAATCCATGTGAAACTTCATGTGAAATATTAGATCATTTGTTTTGGTACTGTCCATTTGTAGCTTGTTTTTGGACACAGGTCCAGGAATGGCTAAAGGATTGCAATATTTACCTGGAGCTAACCCTGCAGATAGCACTACTGGGTGATCTGAAAAGTCATAGTCAATCGATCAATAATATAATAATACTTTTAGTAAAAATGTTTATTTTCAATTTACGATCTGTAGAAACAATGAGAACAGAAAGATTCAGAACTTTTGTAAAACATCACAGTACAGTTGAAAAATATATGGCAAATAGAAATCCAATATGGATGGTGTTAAGAGATAGATGGGAGGTGTTGAATGGAGCTGAAGGATGGGACTAATAACAACAACTAATAACAACAAGATAACTAATGTAAAGCATACTGTGTCCTTAATAACTATATAGGTTATAGGTTGAGCGCTTTTGTGAAAGAGCACAGTTATTAAAATATGGCATATAGAAGCAAACCAGATGGACATCATGAAAATGATCGGAGGAAGTTCAGGAATAAAAACAAACAAAATATAATTATTGTAGAACTTGACTGTGTCCATAAAATGTATATAGAATGTATGGTCTGGAAGTAGAGGCCTAAGCGTTGTTGTTCACTAGTTTACTTCAATTGGGGAACGGGTGGTGGGGTTGGAAAGTAATG